CCAGCGCCAGCTGTGAGCAAAACGGCATTTGGCGTCTGAAAGTCAAAACTTTTTAGGTGTCTGAAGCCAGAGCAGGGTGGAAAAGCCTGGTATGAGGCGCCTGGGCTATGTAGCCGTGCAGGGGACGGTCACCCGCCCGGGAATGCCATCTTAACCGGGCTCGCTGGGCTGCCCTTGGCTTACCCAGAGCGGCGGTGGGGCAGAGGGGCTGCGGTGGTCGCGCTGCCCGTGGTCATGGCCGATTCCCCGCTTTCCTTGCGGATGTGCGCGTAGAAAAAGAAATCCTACAAACTCCTGGAACGACTGAAGTGAGGAGTCTGATCCAATAGTGATTTTTTTTTTTTTTTTTGCAGAGATACAGTTGGCTCTTGCTGCCTGAAGGATTTCCGCATGAACTGAGAACATTTGCTAAATGACATAATAAGCTAATGATTGCTTAATTTTTGAATACATAGCTTAGTGTAGAGAGAGTAACAGCTGGTGTTTGTCAAATTAGGTTTTCTCCTTAAGATTTTTACTACTCATTTTCTTGTTTATTTAACATATTTAGCCAAGATTGAGCTCTGAAGGTCTTCCCCCCGAGCTTATTAGACTTCAAGGTAAATGTTGCATCGTCTAAAGTGCGTTTGAGCCTAGATTTGGTGGGCTGCTTCTGAGCTCCCGTGTGAAACCATTGGAAGTTTCCCGTGCGGTGTGTTTTCAGGATGAAGGATACTAGTGTGGAAAACTTGTAAACCTCAGGTATCGGCATGCGTACTACAGGAGAACAGACGGGCAGACAACTAACATTGGACAGTCAATAGACCAATAACAAACACATTCAGATATGAAATCGGACAGCTTCTATTTAGGAAAAGTCAGAATAAGGGTGGTCATGCATCGTTATGAAGCTGTAGGAGCTGAAGAAAATGCCGACCAATGTGTTCAAATATTTGACTTTTTTAGTGAGGTTTTTTCATTTAAACTTAATGGTTTATATATGACTCACTACTGTCTTGTCCCTCTAGGTTATAATGGTATGTTCACATATATGGGGTTTTTAATATCTAAAAATGCACCAACCGCAAGCTAGGACTTTAAGAATAATAATTAGGAAAGGGCCTTTGAGAGTCCTTAGAAGATATGTAATATATTCAAAATGTAGTGTCTCACTAAGGGGGACATGCAAACAGCAGAGGCCAGATGGGAAATGTTGCAGACTTTTGTTCCATCTTGTGTTGAAATTCAGAATGCTGAAAACATATAATCTTAGGTAAACCCACTGGTTTCCAGTTACAGATAAAATCTGTTGCATCTCACTCTTCCACAGGTGGTTGCCAGAATAGCCTTAAACCGGTCGGCGGCAATCAGACCCTGGCGCTGGCCGCCGCGGCCACCACTGCGATGGTGTCAGTGGAGCCTGAAGCCCCCCAGGGACCTTCGGCGCCAAGCGTCCAGCCTTGCCACGTGCTGACCTTCTCCCCTATCAAAATCCCAGTCTTGGCTTCGCCTTTTCCAGGTAAGGTCACTCCCGGTGGCGCTAACACACAGCTTTTTGTTTGCTTTGCAACAGAGAGGGGCTTCTGAGCATGAGTTTTGCTGTTGGTATGCCTTGGTAAATTAAATATTCAGGGGATCTAGGTGGTGTTACTGTAATCCAGAAATAAAGTTATTTTTTTCTGGTGCTGCTTCGAAGTGTTCTCTGAAATGGTGTGTTAAAGGTAAGTTCAAAACTCCATCTACATTTGCAACGTTTGTGTACACTGTGACGTTTGCAGGCAGTAAACGACCCGAGCTGCATCCTCGGTCGTCTCGGTGACTTCTGCGAGAAAGCGTGCTCGTAGTGCACCGAGGCTTTGCAGCAGGTCCTCAGGTTGCAGTGTTGGCAGTTGAAAGGTACCTGCTGGCATATGGTAATATTTGATGAAGACTTAAGTAGATTGTTTGGGTGTTTATAATTATGAAATATGCCGAAAGAATCTAGCCATGGGTTTGTATTTTTTTCTGATGGGTTTAGATGTGGTTGCTTGCTGGAAAAACTGCTCTTTTCTTAGCACGGCTGTGCCTAACAGCTTTCTGAACATGGCAGCTGGGGACGCGCTATGGCATCCCTGGCACACCGTGGAAGTCTGACTGAGTTAAAGTCTTTGGGATAATTTTTGAAACTGTTCTTTGAATGCTTAAGGCTATATTTTAGAAATGTTATGTACCAATCAAGTTAAAAATTTAAATTAGGGTGCATTTTCCATCTTTTTGGTACTTGAAGTGTAACACAGCAAGACACAGTGAGATTGAATTTCACAGAAGGTATGCAGTTATGATTTTTGGTGTTCAGATGAAATCTTTTCATGAGAAATGTATCTCAGTAATTAGCGTTCCTGTTGAGCAGTCATTAGAATCACCCGGATTAGAATCACTGCCAGGCGTATGGCAGTGGTTTTGTGTTTAGGGAGTCTGAAGAGCAAAGTGACCCACAGGAATAAAGGTACGAGTCTTTCGGGCTTCGTCGAGAAAGGACGGTGCTGAAATGGGAACAGAAAGCGGAGTTAATTGCTGCTACAGGGCGGGGTGTGGTGCTTCCCATGGAGTATCGTCTGACCCACAGAAACCCTTTTACCGGTTTGTAAGCGAGCATCTTAGAGGAGAATCCAAAGGGGGGAAAAAAAATCACTCTGTATCTGTGCTGCAAGCCAGAATTATGTGCCAGATGTGTTCTTCCCTGAATTGAGGTGCTCGGGCGCTCTGGGAAGGAGCTGGCGCAGGACTTTTGATTTACAGCTGCGGAGGCGAGCTCTGCGTGAAGTGTGTTAGGCATGATCGAATACGATAATGCCGGGAAGCGCTGCCACTTCGATAACTGGCGCAGCTCTGCAACGATAAACATGTCAGGCCACGATAATCGTTGCTTTGCTCTCGAATGCGTGTATGATAGGCTATCGAATATCACGCTTTGAGTGCCCGAGCAATCATTCTATTATCAGTCATTCACAGTAAACCACACACTTCTGGGTGTTTTCTCCTGCAGAATATATAGTAGCTGTTTAGAAAAGAAAGCTTGGAAATGCCCGGTCCGTGTACAATAAACTTGAGATTCAGCTAACCATTTTTCTCTATTAATCACCATCTCTGGGGGGAAGGCTAGTGCCTTTGCAAAGCCTTACATAAAACATCTTTATGAAATTCCTTTTTATTGTGCTGGCGGAGGAGAGGACTCGGGGGTGCTGGGTTTAGATTGTCTTTGTCACCACCAGCTCGATGAACAGCTTCCCCAGCTGGCGCGGGGCTGGCTGCGGTGGGACGGAGCCCTGGTCCGCCCCGGGGCCGGGACCGCTCTGCCGCTGGGCTGGCGTCCTGGGCTGGCCTCCGCTGGCCGCGGCCGTAGCTACCTGGTAAAAGCAGGGCTGCGGGTTTCTGTAAGAGCTAACGAAGGAGCCAGGCGTTGGATAGGCGCGAGTGAAACGGGAGGAGAAGCACCTGCAGAAGCTTTAAACCCAGCCCTGAAACCCGGGCTGCCCCTGCTCCGCGCTGCCGAAACGCGGCGGGCGAGGTGCTGCCGCTGGGTTCAAGCCGGCTGGTGGGAAGCACGGTCAGCTGGCCAAGGGCAGCTCTCCGCTGTCGCAAGCAAAGGTCTCTGTTGCCGTGTAAGTTAATGGCCGGGAAAGCATCAAGAAAGTGTAATCTAATGTACAGATAATCCCGAGCGTGGAGCATGCTTTATAACCCTGTCGGCCTCTCGGTTAAAAACATCCGTGCGTTGGCGTTTATTAAAGATGACTTACTGTTTTCAAAGAGAAATACGTCCTGGAGATAGCATTATCTGTGGAGCCTGGGGGCAGCTGTGTTTTTCTTGATGCATGTGTGATTTATAAAGTATCATGGTAATTAATGAACTTCTCATGTTCTCCTTGTCTAAAGTTTATGCAGGCAATGTTCGCATAATAGGAATGAAGTTAGGGAACAAAAGATTAAATTATTTCCAACTTAAATCTCCAGGTATATTGGTGCCTATATGACTGAACGTCGTATGCTTAGTTATACACTGTTAATTGATTATACTGGAGATCGGTGTTATAATACCACCTTGTGCAGTACTAATTTCTAATCACAGCAGTTTGTTCAATCAATAATCTTGTAATTGAATATTTACTTTTAAGGAGGCCTTTTAATATGATTAGTTTTGCCGCCTTGCAGTTTGGCTGTGTTACTTTCCGCCAGCCTAATTAGTAAACTTAGTGAGTTAGTAAGAAATAGCAAGTTAGTGAACCAAGGTGGGCTGTTGGGGAGGTGTGGGGAGGTATGGTAGCTGGCCGGGTGAGGGTCCAGGCGTTTTTCCAGCCGTGCAGAGGGAATTTCTTGGAGCTTCCTTGAAGCAAATTGCCACGTCCCATGGATTAAGGAGAACTCAAAGTCTGCAGAATGCGGTGGTAATTTTTACAAGTTCATTTTAATACAATTTATTTTACATTTTGTAAAAGAAAATCAGAGGTAGAGCTATAATAGAGTACAGGATATTTGGGGAATATCAGCCTTTCCCTGTGCGGGGTGCTGTGAAGGATCCTGCTGGGTCTTTGGCCCTGGGGATAAGCAGACGAGGGTGGGATGCGCTGGTCTCTTGGCTCTGCGATGGGAGAAGCTTCTGTAATCATTTTTGCTGTTGGGTATCAGTTTGGCACCATGCTGATCTTAGAAACTTTTAACAATGAAGTAAATTTATGGAAAAGAAGAAACATAACATACCTTATATTTAAGGTTGAGGAAATTATTTGTGTCTATATGAAGTGGTCTGTGATCTTCTGGGGAGCTACGGTTGCGTGTTACCGCATCATGCAAAACAAATGCAGCCAAGGCTCTGACCACCAGTGAACAATCAAAAAAAAAAAAAAAACCAAAACCCAAAAAAAAACCAAACACCCCCAAAACCCCAGAGAGAGACCACTTTCTGACTCCCAGAAGTTCATACTCAAGTGTTTGTGTATCCCCCTGGCTTTAGGTTGAGGGCTCAGCGCCTCTGTACTGAGGCTGGATGCCAGCTCCGAGCACAGCATCCCCGGCTGGACCAGATGTTGTCAACATCAGCTGTCCTAGGGTCAGCGGGCTGGGAACGTTTCTGCTCTCTAGCCGTAAGAGGTCTCCTTTGGCCCGAGAGCCCACCGTAGCCACAGTCCCTCCTAGTATAGGACATGAGTTTTCTGCTCTTAATGCTTCTGGACTTGACATTTAAACTGTTAATATCCATTAGAATCAGAAACCCAATTGAATTTCACTATGATGGGCTCATTTGAATAAATTGATATTAAAACCCCTTGTCCTGGTGCTACGGGGGTTGAAATGCAATACCAGTGTCGTTCTCGGTTTGGGTTTGCTTACTGCTCATACCGTTGACAACAGTCGTTTCTGGTCTATAAAAGATGGTTTCTGCCGTTACCCTGATTCGGAGCTGTGTAAACGCGTCGTGCAGTTTGTGTAAGAGTTAGGTAGCTTTCTGGAAGTGAGGAGTCGGAGCGGTGTTGTAAGCAGAAAAGGAGGGAGCAGAGTGTCGCGTCTCTCCGTCCCCAGTCCTACCGGTGCTCTAAAAAAGCTTGACTTTGGTGAAAGTGCATGGAGAACGTGAGTATTGGAGTTGGTTGTTGGGTGTGGGTTTGTTTGGTTTTTTTTTTAATTTGGTAATATTAGATAGAGCAAATCTGTTTTTCTTGGCCACCTGAAAGGCACATTATCCCTCGCTGCCCTTCAAAAACCACGTCGCTGGTCAGGTTCCTCATGGACCGGGGTGTGAGAAGGCCAGCAAGTGCCTGGTGTCCTGACTCCAGCTCAGGGAAATCTGCTTTGCTGCAGACTTGAATGGCCATAGGGTCACATCCACAAATAGGGAGTGGGTGTTTGATAAGACTGAAAAATCTTAATATCCTTGTATGTGGTGTTACAGAAGGATAAAGGTAAATGCAGACCAAATGTCATGTGGAAAGCTAATGGTGCCTGGAAACAGTGAGGCTCTGGGATATTACAGAAAAAAAGTTGAAATAAAAAATGAAATAAAAATTAAAAATGAAATAAAAATTAAAATAGAATTTAAAGTCAAAAGTCTATGCCTACCTATGGCAGCCGATGGTGCTGGCTCCTCTAGCTGTGTCCCAAGCAGATGTAACGGGAGGTCTCGGGAGTCTGGGCTTCTGTTTCCAACAACTGGAAGAAAGTGGTCTCCTTCTGCTCCCTGCTTTTCTAGACTGGTTTGGTTTGGTTGGCCATTTCTCATTTGGCTTAAAAAAAAAAGAGTGGCTTGATTAGTTTCTGGAGGAATGTGATACTTGAAATTTTTGCAGATGAAAACTGATGCCCCTCGGACTCGATTTCCAGATTTTCTCCTCTTCAGCTATTCCTGTCTCAAAACTGCTGATCTCAAACCATTCAAGACCAGTCCTGTGGTGAGCAGTTTTGTAATATAGTGGTGGGGTGTTTGTACAATTGCCAGATACATTATTGTTTTCTGTCTGCCAGAATGTAGGTTTCTGTCTTAATTCA